CACTTATATATAAAAGGGGAGGACCCCATAACACTTACTATCATAGTCAAAACAATTTTGCTATCGTCCTGTTCACACTCCTCCCTTTTTTTCTGTTAACAGGAATAGAAATTTACCTCCTCTCTTCCTTATCTAGGGTTCTTTTTTCTTCATTTCCACTGTAATTAGCCTCTTACGTCATAGTCGCATTGTGACCTTAGACTGGGTGAATTGATTATATTATTTTAATTCAGAAATATGATGAGACATGATATACTGTTAACAAAATTGTCTGAAATAGCCGTGTATTTTATCATTCTTCATTGCATGTCTGGCTCTTCTCCGTCTATATTATGTTGAGTTTCCTATAATATCAGATATATGACGATCCATAATTTGACACTTCATGATAAAGTACCTTGACGTGGTGAAGTGGTTTCCGAACTTCAATGCCCCTGAGAGCTGTACTGGTGGAAGATTATCCCCTGACAGGCCCAACCTAGACAGACAGATCAATGGATAGGAGCCAGACAAAAACCTCAGTCATCTAGAGGAGCAAACGTAAAAATAACTTGAGCGGCAGCAGCTCTCCCGTTTCCGGGATAAGCAAACATCAACAGATCGATACATTGTCTTGATATGCATGATCGATGATGGAAGATAAGCAAAGCAGTCAACAACAACGACATGGATCAATCAGTTCTGATTCACTGAATAATGCATTTTCTAGTAGAAGTTGCAACCACTAAAACAGAATCATGCAAGTGAAAAACAAAAAAAAAAAAAAAAAAAAAAAATAAAAAAACCAAGATGACCATTAAATTCAATCCAAAAGGACAAACTTACTGGTCTTCTTGTACGCACGAGATAAAGACAAAATAGATTTAAGAAATTTGGATCATGTAGATTTTAGGACGTCGGTGATTTTTGCATGAGTTGAAGTTGTAAAATTTTATTCATCTATCAGTTTTTCGGAAAAAAACGTCCGATTTTAGAAAAAAAAACATGCGTTCCTGAATTAATTATTTACACCCCGCTTAAATCCGTTAAAATAAGAACGGAACATAATATATATATATATATATATATATATATATATATATATATATATATATATATATATATATATCCAGAATTTGTTTGCAAGTTTATTTATGCCTTCACGATAAAACACTAAAGGTTTGGAGACCAACGAAACCTTGAATGCAGATTCTCTATCGGCTTTGCAACGGAATGATTTTGTTTTAAAAATTCGTGCTTCACTAAGTGCTAGTCAGTAGTTGAGATATCAGTAGAATATGGTGGATATGACAAAGTCATATATCCAAAGCTTGTGCGCTTAGGCAGTTTTATTCTGCGAATATGTTGCCAGGCATTGTCATGAACCACAACTGGACCACGTCGATTAAATAGTGACTGTCGCAATTTCCTTAACTGAATACGCATTTCGCCCAATTGTTAGCTGCAAATTTTTGAGAGCGAGGCTCTTTTTGGACTTTAGAAAGTTCGATTGGATAATGCCAATAGTGGACCACCAGATTGCCACCATTATTTTCTGTCGGTGCAATTTCGTTTTGGGAATGTGGTTAGCTCCTTCGTCATGGTGAGGCCAAAAAGTCGATCATTTCCGGTTGTCATCCATTTTTCATCACTATTCGATCAAGAAATAGATCATTCTAATTTCTCAGACAAAATATCGAGCACATATCAAAGCAATGAATCCTTTGACTTTGACGGAGTTGATATGGTAGGCATTTATCGTGTTTCTTCACCTTGCCAATTTTCCTCAGCGGTCCCGATGTTGTTCAGATGCTGACTGCCATTATCTGAGACATTTCTTTTAGATGTTGAGGTACGTTTTGTTGATTGTTAATTGCAGATGGAATTGCTATACCATCTTGATTTTTATGGACCGTATCTCCACTACGGTATTACAGAAACCAACGCCATACTGTCCAATCACAAGTGGATCCTTCATCTCAATATATGTTAATGTTTGCATCAGTTTAGGAAGCTTTAACTCATGCTAAAAAGTAAAACCATTTCTTCTTTTTTCATGTTCAATATGAGGGAGACATCGTGGTTGAAGTTAAATTTTGAACTAGATTTATATGAAATTAACAAAGAGGACAATTTAATTATTGGAAATGGGTAATATATTTTACCTATTACAATAGTGTATTAGAACACAATTAAATGGCTTATTCTAAAATCGGTCATTATTTTCGGATCAACGTAATAGCAGCGACTATAATCATTTGGACCACAGGAAAACAGATTATATAAATGATATACTAATCCAGAGGTATACTACGTAAGTAGACTTCGGTAACGAGAATATTCCAACAGATATTTTTAAAGAACTGCATCAGTTGCGACGAATTGAAAAATATTGCCAAAAATGAAATGTCTGACAAATATATACTAGTATTATTTTAAGTGGATTAGAAATATGATACTTAGATATTTGAGAGAATCATTCAACCGCGCATTTACCATTTTGTTCAAACAATTTTTCGTCAACTTATAAGCAGCTTCATGATAGACAACTTTCGGGACTATACACTAGCTTAAATTGTTTTCAAGTGATTTCTGAAAATCTAAGTTCTTCCAATTGAGATAATATTCTAGAGATCGGAATACGTGGTATTTCGAAGGTGCTAGGTATGAAAGGTATAGTTCAACATCTACATAATACACGTGGGTATGGCAGGATTTTTTGTTTAGCCTAACCCAATTGTATAATTTCCTGATAGAAAAATAACAACATTCGGATTGCACATTTCTGGACGTTTTTATCGATTACGCCATTTAAATTGTGTAGTTGGGAAGCGTTCTTTTCCGAGTTAAACTTTTTTTTTTTAAGCATTTCACCCCAAGAAAATCTGGAGTGACACTAGTATACAAGGGGCTACAGCGAGTGGAAGGGAAAAGACTCTGTATACTGGGGTTGAGGAAAGGTGTGTGTGTGTGTGTGTGTGTGTGTGTGTGTGTGTGTGTGTGTGTGCTGTATTCGTATATTTTCGGGGATCATCTTGTCGGAGTTAGCTCCTCCTTATCTCCTTTCCTTTTAACAGAGGTCTCTCTTCCTGGCTATAAATACTGCTGATCCTTCGCCTCCTCCTCTTTTCCCTCAGGCCTTTGGGCCGCCACCTCGAGGGAAACGTTTTTCCTCAGGCATTCAGCCTTACCACTTCGCAGATGTGAACGCTCACAGATACAGCGTTACCCAAATGCTGCAAATACGCTAAGAACAATACACGTACGCACGAACACTCACCACAACACAAAACACACACATAATATTCAGCACACACACTCTGTCAATGTAACTGTCCATGTAACGTGTAACCTTTCTTGCTATTAATATATATATATATGTGTACATATATTTATCGGTCTTGTGCTTGTTTTTCTTTGCCTTCTTTCGACTTGATTAAAGTAGTTGGACCTGCTAGCAGGAAAATTTCTACTCACGTCTATTCATCTACTTATATCCTACATCACAGCCACGGTCCTCTACAAGTGATTTTTACTATTTGATTTTAATTGTTTTGGTATTGTTTTTGAGTAGATATCTAATGTTATTATTTATCATTATGCTGCTTATTAATATGTTGTCTGATGGCACTGTCTCCGGGATGCGTGTATTTCGTTGAAATGTACACAACCCTTAGACAGTTAGCTTAAACTCTCATCGACAATCAAGACTCTGAGACATAGTATGTTTTAGGCACAGGTTTATTGACAGTCGACAAAGGTAAAACTGAAAGAAAATAAAAACACGTTTCTTCAGAAATACAAAATGAAGGTGAATAATTACTAAGAGCTTAAGTAGTTGTAGGTACGATAAGCTTACAGAATAGAAGCATTTGAACGTAAAAAAATACTCATAGAAAGAAAAAGAATACAAATTATGCTGAGTAACAGTCAAGTTCCGAGAGGAAAGGTGGAGGTTCCGCACGTGGTGAGAAGGTAAACAAAGTTCGTTTAAGGAAGGAAATGATACTAAAAAATAATGCTTGTATTAAATAATTCCATAATAGGAAGGAAAAAAGGCGATAGTTCTTACCGGAGATGTCCAAGAATGACGAGATATTTAAAGGATGAAAACTATGCCATGCGGCCAAGCTGTGGGCATGCCATGTGGCCGTGCTGGGGGCAGCAAAACTAGATAGAGGCTGAGCACCGGGAACCTTCAACCGGTGTAGGGTCAGAAAGAAGCCCCCAAGCAAAGGGGCCGATAAAGGGAGATGGGTGCTAGTAGGTCTGTTGTACACAGAACAGAACACTCCCCGCCTGACGTCTTGGACGTCAAGGAATGTGCTAGTTCTCGTCACAGGGAAGGACAATCCTGGTAACGGGTCTGAGGAGGTGTTTAGTTCACTCAGTTCGGTTGCCGGGAGGGCGGCACAGAGCTCCAGTCTGGGAACTGAATGTTCGGGTCGTGGGGCAAGTTTCGCTTTCCCCGTGACGAAGCCAATTTGGTTGTTTCCTTTATCGTCGGTGACCTTGAGATAGGCCACTGCAGCGATGGCTTTGGTCGATGTATCGGAAAAGATGTGCAGCTCTTTATGTACTGCTTTTGAGAGTGGTATGTTTGTGAAGGCCCTAGGGATTCGGACCTCGTTTAGCGCTTCCAAGGAGTCTCTCCATGAAGACCAGATTTTGTGCATTTCTTGAGGAAGAGGTGAGTCCCACTCGCTGTTTTCATGGGTTAGCTCTCTCAAGATTAACTTTCCTTGAATGGTGACGGGGGCAGCAAATCCCAAGGGGTCATACAGACTGTTGAGGGTCGATAAAACGCCCCTACGTGTAAAGGGTCTTTGTATCGCAGGTTTCTTATCGAGGCTACGTCTCGGTGAAGAAAGTCGACTCTCTGCCAGTTTCCTGTTATATGGGAGACGACGTCGGGGGGATCTAAAGGGTAGAGGAGCGACCCAACTGTTGTCTTTGTCTTTCTCAGCTCCCAGTTCCATAATGTTCAGGAAGGCAATATCTTCAATAGAAGGGCAATATCTTCAAAAAGTTGCCGCCCTTTCGTCGTCCTTGGTCCGTTGAAATAGGTGGTCTTCCATCTCGGTGGAGTATGGTCTCTTGCTGATGCCGAAGCTCTCTTTAATTTCGAATTTGTTCGGGCACGGTTCGAAAAGGGTAGGGCGTCCCCCATCGGATATATGTGTATGCAATGTGTTTATTATGGTGGGTGGGTGAAATTTCCCTAAACAGACATTGCCGACTATGACCCATCCGAGGTCCAGTTTCTGTGCATATGGGGCATCATGGGGGCCGTTTATATGTTGGCGCACTTTGTGTACCCTTAGAATGTCACGCCCCAGAAGGAGCATTATAGGAGTTTTAGGCTCCACGGTGGGGATGAGGTGTGCTATTTTTCTCAGATGTGGGTGGTGGAGGGCTGCCTCAGGAGTTGGGATGCCGGACCTGTCGTTGGGTATTTTGTCGCATTCGACGAGACTTGGAAGTGGAAGGCTGTTTTTTCCGTCTAAGGATTCCACCTGGAAGCCTGACGCTCTTCTTCCCATGGTTTGTATAACTCCGGCACAAGTTTTAAGGGAATAAGGGAAACTGGGCCCATCATTTTTAAAGGTATCAAAAAAGTCTGAGCGTACCAAAGACCGGTTGCTTTGTTCATCGATGATGGCGTACATCCTTACTGTTTTGTCTGGTTGGTCGGCAGGGTAAACATTGACGAGGCATATCTTGGAGCACGACTTTTCTGAGAGGTCACCACCGCAAACTTGTGTGCACTGCGAAACCACTCCAGTAGCTATAGGGGGGTTATCCTCCCCGCCGTTCTCTGCAGCGGATCTTATGCTGATGGGCCAAGGTGGTGGTCCTGGATGGAGAGCAGTGTTGTGTTCTTCACTGTTACACTCATTGCATGTAATATTCATTCTGCAGAATTTCGCTATGTGTGCTGTGGAGGAGCAACATTTGAAACAGATGCCATTGTTTCTTATAAAAGTCTCACGCTCTTTCAAGGGTTTCTCTCGAAAGGCGCGGCATTTCAACAGTGAGTGGAATTTTTTGTGTAATGGGCAATATTGGGTGGGGTCGTTGTCATCTTTGTTTTGCCGACGCGTGGTGTTGAAAACTGTGGGGGACACTTCGGTCTTATTCACCGATACCACCCTTTGTTTGCTCTCTTGTGAGGGGAACCTACCCACCAGTGGATTGACTTTGAAGCTTGGATCATTTTTTATCCTAGCTTGTTGTGTAATAAAGTTTACAAATACCTTAAAAGGAGGGAACGTAACTTGGTGCCGCTCCTTATATTCGGAACCAACAGACAGCCATCTGTCCTGAAGTGAGGATGGTAGTTTGGTTATAAAGGGGCGGAGCCCTCGAGCAGTGTCCAGGTAGGCGAGGCCAGGAAGGTTTCCATCTTCCCTAGCTGACAAGAGTTCGGTAGCTAAATCGCTGAGTTCCCTAAGTCTAGGAAGATCGTTGTTTGACAGTCTGGGGAAGTCATCTACTCGTTTGAAGAGAGCATCCTCTATCATTTCAGGAGCCCCGTAACACTCCTCGAGTCGGGCCCATATTCTCATGAGCCCTCTTTCTGGGTGGTTCAGGTGGGCTGACCTTAGCCTCCTTGCATGTTCCCCTGACTCTTTACCAAGCCATTTTACGAGGAGGTCCATTTCCTCGCTGTATGTGAGACCGAGGTGTCTGATGGCACTCTGGAAAGACCGCTTCCATGCTCTGTAGTCCTCAGGTCTATCGTTAAAAGGTGGCAGTCCAGTGGTGATGAGTTCCCGCCGGGTGAAGTACCTCACAAGGTCTGAGGTATATTGAGACTGGGAGGCGTTCCTGGTGTTGGTGGGGTACCGGTCGTTAGGAGGTTCGGTGTCTTCGACACGTGAGTTAGGGGAGTGATAGCTGATAATAGGTGGGGTTGTTTGGGTAGGTCTGTCTGGGCTCCCTGGCCTATGAGGGAGAAGTCGGTCTCCGCGTTCAAACCGACCATACTGGTATCCCTGAACGATTTGTTCATTAAGAGGTGGTTGGGGTCCAGTCATCTCTTGTTTCGGTTGGCTTGCTTGGTCGGCTAAGTATTCTCGGACCCGTGTGCTAGGGTCAGCGGGAGTGCAGTCGAGTTTTGAGTGGTTGCAGCTGGACCGTTCTTTTAGCTCGTCGGCAGCTCCCTCAGAACTTCTGCTTCAGCTACGGCAGCAGCCGTCTCCTTTTCAAGCTGTAGTTTCTCCAACTCCATCCTTATTTTTAGCTCCTTGTCGATGAAAGCTAAACGTGTTTTGGCTGCTTCAGCCCTAGCTTGGGCGATAGCAGCAGCAGCCGCCGTAGACGATCTGCTGGAAGACCGAGAGTAGCGGGAGGCATGAGTCCTTGACCGATTTGACACGTTGTCTGCCATTGTTGAGAAAAAAGGATGATTGGTGGTAGAAGAGAGGCCGAAAGAATAGCTTCGTTATATTGAGGATAGTTTTTTTCAAGCGAACTGTGTGACACTACTGTTGTTGGTGTTGCGTCCGTAGTTCCGACGGTTGGTGTAGACCACGAAATATCCGACCATTAGGGGAGCCTCCGTTTTACTATACTGTCTCCGGGATGCGTGTATTTCGTTGAAATGTACACAACCCTAGAGACAGTTAGCATAAACTCTCATCGACAATCAAGACTCTGAGACATAGTATGTTTTAGGCACAGGTTTATTGACAGTCGACAAAGGTAAAACTGAAAGAAAATAAAAACACGTTTCTTCAGAAATACAGAAATACAAAATGAAGGTGAATAATTACTAAGACCTTAAGTAGTTGTAGGTACGATAAGCTTACAGAATAGAAGCATTTGAACATAAAAAATACTCATAGAAAGAAAAAGAATACAAATTATGCTGAGTAACAGTCAAGTTCCGAGAGGAAAGGTGGAGGTTCCGCACGTGGTGAGAAGGTAAACAAAGTTCGTTTAAGGAAGGAAATGATACTAAAAAATAATGCTTGTATTAAATAATTCCATAATAGGAAGGAAAAAAGGCGATAGTTCTTACCGGAGATGTCCAAGAATGACGAGATATTTAAAGGATGAAAACTATGCCATGCGGCCAAGCTGGGGCATGCCATGTGGCCGTGCTGGGGCAGCTAAACTAGATAGAGGCTGAGCACCGGGAACCTTCAACCGGTGTAGGGTCAGAAAGAAGCCCCCAAGCAAAGGGGCCGATAAAGGGAGATGGGTGCTAGTAGGTCTGTTGTACACAGAACAGAATGATGATACATAAACTATACATAAAATTCTAATAATGATAAGAATGAGAGGGAGGAGATGAACCCAAAAATAACTAAAAATATACACAAAATACAAACTAAACATAACATATGTTAGTAGGGACCGTACAACCCTCAAAATAGAGAGGCCGCTGTATTCTGCCCAGAGGACAAAATCAAGAAGCACTCTCGCTAAGGGAGTGGGAAAAGAGGATAAAATATTATGCCGGAATGGGTAATACAATGCTGACCCAGTCAAGATGAAAAGGGGGACCAAAACAAACTGGGGAGATTGGGAATCTCGACTTGGACCATAACCAAAGAGCAGCCGGGATACAGGCCAGGAACGACACTTACTCACATTAACTAGGTACACTGAAGCTTGTCTAACCTAACCAAGGGGAGGCTTCCACAGGAAGCCACCCCGATGTGCTATAGGTTGACCTAAAAAAGAAAATCAAGGCTAGCCCCGGTCACACGAACCAGGCTTGCTACTTTTACCCACCTTTCGCTGAAGACTGTCGAATGCAATCGTTTTCTATCAGATCTAATCTTCATCTTGAGCTGATGCTCAAAGAATTGGATTAGATGCTGATAAGAAAGACGGTTGCCCCGCAAGACTTCCTCCATTCGCGTCGTCCAAATCACCATTCGAGCCGTGGCCATCAGCATCAGAAACACCATTCGTTTCTCCCCGGAATACGGGGGCGACACATTGTCACACGCGTATGCGTGATCAATGGACACAAGCTGTTCGGGAGCGAGACGAGCCGTCAGCTCGCCGACATGGTCCCATAAGGGGCGGACACGGGGGCAATGGTAAAAGGCGTGCGAAGCCATTTCTTCTAAGCCAAGACCACACCGTTCACAGTCTGGCAAATCCGCCAAACCCCATATGAAAGCCTTGTCATTGAGAGGCAGCCGATTCCGAGCCAATCGCCGGGTAAGCGAAAACTCAGGGTTACTGAGGTAATCCGCCGCTGGCGCCCAAGACCAATAGGAGCGATACTCCTCCTCCGACAAGCCGAGCGTATCACGTTTTATCCATCGCGCGACCCTCCATTAAACCACGATAGAAGACCTTCCTAGGCCGAGAAAGGTCACTGGACCGGGGAATGGCCTTCAAGGCCAACCGACACTCGCGGATAAACCCGACTCATCCCGGGGCCTACAACGGCGCTCAGCCCTCGAGATGGGGGGACTGATAGTAAGGCTAGGGAAGGCGTCCCTAACAATCCCCTCCAGAATCGGATCTCCTCTAGTCAATTCGCGGCGTAGGAAAGCCAACCTAGAGGCACGGATGTGACTCATAAGGTGCGGCATTCCCAGCCCCCCATGACACGGACGTTTGGTGCAGACTCGTCTGTCGACCCTGTTCACGCGTCCCCTCCATAAAATGGAGGATAGCGATCGCTCGAGCACCTTCCTACGGTCTTTACAGAGAGGAAGTACGGACAACCGATAAAGAATCAGGGGGAAAATGTATGTAACACACACCTCCGCCCTGCCCTTCACGGACAACCGCCGTCGATTCCAAGTCTGACCGGCAGAATCGACCTTTGCACGTACTTCAGACCAATTCTTCTCCAGCTGGAGGTCGGGCCCAAACCACACTCCAAGAATGCGGACAGGACCGTCCGTCCAACCGAAGCGGCCCGGAAGATCGACCCCCTTCCAGGCACCTAACCGCAAGCCGGACGACTTGTCGCGGTTTATCTTGGCCCCTGTCACCTTCTAGTACCGATCAAGCGCCTTCTGTACCGCCTCAATGTCAAAGCATAAAGGAGAGGCGACAGCGGACAACCCTGACGAACCGACCTAGACAGCACGAACGCGTCCGACAACCTTCCGTTCACCTGTACCACAGCACTGGGGGAGCGATACAGGAGGCTAATCCAGCGGCAGAAGTTGGGTTCGAATCCAGCGGCCTGCAAGACAGTAGCAAGGTAGCGATGGTCAACCCTATCAAATGCCTTGGACTGATCCAAATTGATCAGCGCGGCTTCTTCGTCGTCTTTTACACCCTCTATGATCGTGCGGATCAGATGCAGGTTGCTCTGAATTGTTCGGCCCCTCACAGAACAAGTCTGCTCAGGTCCCAACAGACTCGGCAACTGACTGAAAACGCTCCTGCAGGATCTTGGCCATAATCTTTAACTCTGTGTTTAGCAGAGTTATGGGCCTGTAATCATCTAGTTTCCCCCCACCACCTTTGCCCTTTTTCAACAGAGTGATCACGGCCCTGGTGATCCGATTGGGGATGGACCCCGACCGAAACCAGCGTTGAACACTGCTGTCAAAATCGGAACAAAGATGTGCGACAGCCTCAAGTACAATTCATAGGGCAAACCATCCAGACCGGGCGACTTGCCTCTGCCGACCTTCTTCAATACCACGTAGACTTCGCCCTCCGTGATCTCTCCCTCGCAGCTAGCCGCTTCAGTCGGCGAAAGCCGAGGAAAGTCAGCCAAATATCTGCGAAACTCCTCCTCACGTAGACCAGGCTCCTTGGTAAACCGGTTCTCGAAATGGCGCCGAAACGCCTCGCACATATCGTCAGTGGCCCGAAGAGTGTGCCCCTCCGGGGATTTGACTTCACGAATGAAACGATCGCCACCTCGACGGACCTCTTCCCTGCGCAGATCTGCGCCCATGTTCATAGCTTCGGAAGACATCTTACTTAACTTATGTCTAATTACCTGGCCCATGTACCGCTCGCTATTCAAACGATCCAGGGCCGCCCTAGCTAAGGCTATCTCTAGGGGATCTCCCGCAGCCACCGCCCGGGTGTAACTAGCTTTAAGTGTCTTCACCTTATCAGCTCTATCTAGAGCGAGCCGTTTGCTGAAATCAGTGGTGAAAGACCTAATCCTAGACTTAAGACGCTCCCACCACTTATTCCCGATAAACGCCCCCACTAGCTCCCGCTGCACTAATCTAGTTAGCTGTTCCTGGAAGTCCCGCCTGTCCAGTAAAGACAGATTGAACTTCCAGTAGCCAGCTATTCTAGGCCTATGATCTAACGCTACACGGGCACAAACAAGTTTGTGGTCCGAGTAGCCAACCCAGTGGAACGTAGGGCAATCTAGCAGATCTATGTCGGCTCTTCTAACTAACATTCTGTCAAGGTAGCTAACCATCATTTCAGAAGGCCAACTAAGAGCCCACGTCCACATGTTCCCCCCGGGATGATCGACCCGGTATCTATCGACGAGACCATAATCGTCGATCAGATCAACCAGGCTACGATCGTCCCTTCTCCCACCAGCACCCCGCCCCTGTCTAAGTCAGGGTCCAGAATGGCATTCCAGTCCCCCATTAAAACTAGGCGCGTTGAATCAACCAGGAACGGCCCCAACCGCCGAAAAAACGAGACCCGCTCCTCCTGGTCATTGGGCGCATAAACCGCAACGACTCGGAACGAACCACTTTTCACGGCAATATCGGCCACGATCAACCGGTCCTCGGCATCGGTATGCACAAGGTCCACCTTCGCATCAAGTGTCCGTCTGACAAGCAAAGAAACTCCTCTGGCAAACCGGTCCCCATATGCTGAATAGACAACAAAGTCATCGTCCAGCACACACGATTCAGCACTGCAAACAAAGTGGGTCTCTTCGATCGCGGCGACATCCACATCCAGGGACAGAAGGTCCCGGAGCAGGCGGGCAGCCTTACCCCGATCCCTTAAGCCCCTCACATTCAGAGTCGCTAACTTGGTTTCCATTTTCTAGGCGTGCAAAGAAAAAGAACAAGCGCAAAAACCTAAACACATACGGGCCGGAAATCTGCGGGTGAAA